CAAATATGTCAAAAGCGTGGTTGCTGGAAAGTAGCATTGACAAGCTGAGAGAAAAGGGTATCAAAGAACAGAAGTAATCTTTGGAGAGCTTTAAACGATCGAAAAACTGCGCGATAGCTTGATGTTTTTTCTCAGCTGACTACCCGTGACACCAAGAAAGTGCATAAAACGCCCATCCTATCCAATCTACAGCGTAGCATTACTATTGCCGTGATAGCAGAAGCAAGATCTTTAATTTGCTTTTTTAAAAAAAAAAACTGTGCACATTTTCCTGGTGTAGGCCGAGCTTGAACACTCTAACAACAGCTATAACTCCAGACTGAGGAGAGAGCTGGACGAGATAGAGGCTAAGTGGACAAAACGACTCAGGTACGTCCTCAGTTTTTTATTTCCATCGCAGCTATTACTTGGGTCATCATTCAACGACTATGCAGAAACGTTGTGTGATGGCCTAAATGTCGGTTACGAAAGAACTTAACCGACCTTAGCTATTCCACAGTGCATTCAAGGAATTAAAAAAAAATAATGACAATACTTATTCTTGTTATTTCTGACCGATTGACAGCTAAAGAAATAGTTATCCAAGATTGCCGGATGATACCGTGGTGTTTTCTTAATGTACTTCATGCTTTATCAAGAAGAACTTAATTAATTTAAAAACAGTTAGAGAAGAATCTCGAACCTTGTAAGGAAAAGGGAACAACGGAAAAGGTTGCTGGAAGAGACATTGGGGATATGAGAAAAGGGAACAGGAAATGGGAAATGAGAAACGGGAAACGGGGAAACGACAACGGGAAACGGGAAACGGAAAACAGGAAGCGAGAAATAGGAATTGGAGATTGGAGAACGGGGGAACGGGAACTGGAACAAGAAATGTAGGGAGCTGGCTTGATTGCCAAAGATGAAATGACGAGCCACGTACAATGCATTATCAGTAAACTGAAGTTTCGTTGTATTTTCGTTTCAGGAAAGAATGCATGGAGCTTCAGTCAGAGTTGTCAGAGAAACACAACAAAGACAAACAACAGTGGCAGAAGAAGGAAGTGGAGCTACAGAACATAGTAAGTAGACTTCTGATTCACCTCAATCAAGTGAAACATACCATATATTTCTTAAAGTGTGTTTTTACAATTTAGTGAAGCTAAAATTCAGTTGCTTCATTTTTTACTTATCCAAGATTCGTCAAATGAAAATCGTGATGGACAAGAGACTAGGACAAGCCGAAATTGAACGGCGGAGACTGGAACAGCTGGTGAGTTCAAGATCGTCCAGTTTCCATGGCAGCACGGTTAGCCTCGATTCCAATTCCGATGATTCAGGGGAAAGTCCGACTCCAAAGCCAGAGACAAGTAGCGACATGCCTCAGCCGACCGGTGAGAAAGTGTTTTGAATGAAACTGTGTGCAAAGTCTTAAACTGGTTGAATAAATGATGCGATGAGTCTGTGAATAAAGAGTCTGAATCAGTGGCAACAAAAATAATAATAATGATAATAATCCGTTGGCTAAAAAACTATGGTGCTGCAAAGAAGGGCAACTGACCAACCAAAGAGTGAAGCTACCGTATGCAGACTTTCTTTGAACTTGAACTTGAATTTTATTTTGTTTTCTTACGTACAATTACAATTGCTTGGCCCCGCAACTAGTTCCAGAATTAATCGAGGCGGGAGCAAGAGTTTATTTTAAAAAGGAAATAAATTAAAAAAGTAATGATAATTTACAACAAAATCACAAATTAAAAGGTACAAGTAAAAAATAGAAACGACTACAGGTAACCGAAAGCAAAGTAACAACTTGTGCATACACACAAACAGTAGCAGCAAGCAGTAAGAGTGCACGTACGCAAGAGACTAGAATGCTATTATTTTAATATTAAAATAAAGTATGCCAATCAGAGAACTTCTGTATCAGTTGGGAGACTTAAATTCTTTAATGAACGTGGACTTTAAAACGCTTCCCCCCCCCACTCCAACCCCTTGATTAACTTAGGAAGAAGGAGTCTTACTAAATGTTCAGAGCAGCCTCAAGTGCTATATGCGAGCGAAGACGGTTTTATTCAGGCTTTTCTTGTAGCCAGTAAAAATTCAGTTCCATCCCCTCTCGTAAGGTTCCAATTTTACGCTTTTGACGTAACTCTTTTTACAGATTGCCTCAGCGATCGGGAGCTCCGGCGAGTTGCATACAAACTAAACGGTGAGGAGTGGTCTCAGCTGGGAACCTTCCTGGGTGTGGGAGACAAGGACCTCGTGCAACTCGGTGGCCTCAGCATGGGACCTCAGGAGAAAGCTTTTCGACTGCTGTGTGTGTGGAGAACCCGCTGCAGACTGGGTCGAGCTCAGATGATCTCACAGCTGGCTGTGTCATTGGAGGAAGTAAGCCGCAAAGACGTGGCTCAGTTTGTTTTAGAGCAATTCATGTCTGGAAAACCTAGAAAGAAATTTTTCGGGTGGTAAACTGCACAGGACTACCAAACTTGTGCCCCCGCGTGATAAGCCCGTGAATCGCACCTGATCAACATGCGAAGCTCTCGTGAAAATACACTCGTGACCACTAAAGTCACTTTTTGACTTGTAGTAGATGTTCTTAATTACCAGAAAGGGGTTTCGTGTTTTCTATTGCTCCATATTCAACCATTATTTAAATTAAATCTCTTCAGTCGGGAAAACCAATACCTCGTTTGCCAAATCGTCGTTTGAAGCCGTTTGAAGACTTCCGAGTGGTATTATCCAATCAAAACTAGCGTCAGACCTTAGGGGTTCTTCCAAGAGAGTCACCCCAGCAGGGAGAAATAAGAAAAAGGTCATGTTGCAAGGCAACGTTAGTTGCGAGAACCGCGGGCTCAGTAAATTTTCGTAGACCGGAAAACGACGGCAGCTATTATTTGTTTCCCTGACTGTGTTTATTTTTTTGTATTTATTTATAGACTTAGCGTGACAACAGTCACGCGTGACATGTGTCACATAAATGCCGCGATACAAATCGAAAAGTATACCTTAGTACAAAAGTGATCAGACAAAACGGAGCAAAATATTTCTTTATTTTATAGCTGTTTAGAAGCGAAAGTCTTGGTACATTTAACATATACATTTAACAAACTACACCAAGATAGCTAGCAGCATATATTTAAACTTAATGAATGTACATGAAATAAATTATATTTAATCAGTCAATTTGTAAACAACGGTTATTCCTAACTTTAAAAAAAAAAATCGTTTGATTGATTACAACTCTGAAAATATTCATAAATTTAGAAAACAATTGAATGGGAATAAAGATATCAAAAGGAGCTTTTTGAATATCACTGTTGTTTGCTTTGATTCCTACCCAATTCGTTTGTTTTAAGTACAATATCCCTGCCAATCAAGCTAAATTACTTCTGCCCCGCCCGCCTTTACACGGGATTAATAGTTCATCGTTTCAGAGCGGAAAAACGTACTGCGCAGCTTTCTGCGCATCCCTAGCCCTATTTGCGAGTTCCAGTAATACTGCTGGCTGCAATGGTGGATCTTACATGTACTGGTTTTGATTGATGTAATTGTATTTTAAGATTAGCCTCTTCACATCATGGTTAATCAACTGAAATGATTGCAAGGAGTAAGATTTTAGAAGGAGGCTTAGCATTGAGGTTAGTGAATGTTTGGAGAAATTTGTGGAAGAGAGTTTGAAGAAGAACTAGACGAGGGACTGCTGTCGAAAAATAGTTAAAGTAATCTTAAATAACATATGTCCTAGAAAAAGAGAATGAAGAGTGAGAGAGTCAATGCCCTATACAAGCTTTATTCCCAAGCTAATCCCTTTTAAGTTATTTTTAGATCCACTCGATCCACTCGATCCACTCCCACTTTCAAACTCGTTCCCAGGCTCTCTCTCCTCTGTCTTCCATTGTCGTCAAGGCAGAGAAGAGAGAGAGCCTGGGAACAAGGTTGTCCCGCTTTCAGAAATCCAGGAGGGTCACGAAATACTGTGACGCAGAATTGGCTTAAGTATTCAAAACCGTGTGACAATTCCGTTCAGAAAACGAAATCAGATTTTCGGTATTACCTTACATTTGGTCTTGTCCTTTAATACCTCGGTCAACTTGATCGATTACGAGGCGAGCAACACAGTTGTAGTCTCTCTCCTCTTGCGCAAACAAATAAACTGATTCACGGACTTGCACAAGACGCGCAATTTTCAGCAAGGCTATTCTTTCAGATCCTCCCGTTAACTTTCCTCTTTTCTCACGATTGTCCAAAATATAGCTAGACCATCTTTAGAGGAGATTGTGCGAGAAAATGTTTCAAAAAAAATTTTTCTCGCTCGCTTTCCTGACGTGCTTCCCCGGGGGGGGACTCCCATATGAAAAGGTCGGGGATGCTCATCGCCTCGCTCAGTGGCGGATCCAGACCTTGAGCTAAGGGTGGGGGGGGGGGGAGGGGGGCGGTTTTTTCTTTTTTTGCTCGCTCTGCCGGCTTTTCTTCCTTCTGCATGCAGTTTTCGTTTCCTTTTTATTCGAGGTTTTTGGTCTCACTCAAGGTGTTCATGACGAAACGCCACTATTTTTAGCTGTCAGAGTATCTTTCAGGGTGCACTCCACTCTCTCGACCGAGTCCCGACCTTTTCAAAAGGGAGTTCCCCTTTCCCCCGGCCCGCGGCGTGATTCACTCAACTCAAAAAGTGAGCAATGGGAATTTTGTTGCCCTTTCATACAGTCACTTTGTGTAGATCAAAATGAAATAACTACATCATCCAGTCGATTGAAGAATGAGTAAAACAATTGCTACCCGCCTGGGTTGATATATATATTTAGTATCACCCAACTAGTGGACTAATGCAAATCCTGCATTTTGATTGGCTACGCTACTAGGGGACTATTAGTAATAGTCATCGAGTAG